ATCTGCCCTCATATGACATGGACTCAGTGTCCTTCACCTCCCCACCAAGATTGCCCTTCTCTGCACACTCTCCAGTTTATCGATATCCTTTTTGACATTTAGAAATGAACACAGTACTCCAGATTTAGTCTGACCATGCACAGTATGGGGAAACTATCACTTCCTTATTCCTACAAACTATGCTTCCTTTAATGTAGTCCAAGGATAAGATTGTATATTTATCTTAGTTAATTTCATCTTGGTAGATTAAACCTATTCAATGCTCTGACCTGCTCAGATCTTTTTTGGAACCTTACTCCTTCCTCCAGTATATTAACCAGCTTTCCCAGCTTTGCATCAACTATAAGTTCAGTGAGGATACCTTCAATCAAGTCACCTATGCCTATCTATGCCTTCAGTCAAGTAATTAGTAAGAAGGATTAAACACCAGAGGGCCATCAGACTGGTCCCTGAGGCTGTCCACTGGCCATCTCCTACTCAGCTGACCTTAAAGCACAAATGAGTCCAGCCATTCAACAAGTTCTGAATCAATACAGTGGTATTATCATCTAGTCCAGGGGTGGGGACCTACTGCCTCAAGGTCACATGTGGCCACCCTGATCTAGTCAATATTTCCCTGTTTTCTATCAGAATGGTTGGTTGATGATGCTTTATCAAATATTTTGCTAAAATCTAGATACACTACATCTGCAGCATTCCCCCAATATACTAGATGAGTAACCCTATCAGAGAAGGAAACAAGAGTAGTCTGGCAAAACCTGTTATTGATAAAGCAGTGCTGGCTCTTCATAATCACAGTTTCCTTTTCAAAATGTCTACCAGTCATTTCTTTAATGCTCTATTCTAGGGGAAGCCAGGTGGTGCATGGGATCTGGAGTGAGGAAAGATTCATCTTCTTGAGTTCAAATCTGGCCTCAGACAGACCCTGAAGAAGTCATTTAACCCTATTTACCTCAATTTCTTCATCTATAAAATGAGCTGGAAAAGAAAATGGTAAACCACTTTGCCAAGAAAACTCCAAATGGGGGAATGACTGAACAAAAAGCTGTATTCCAGTAATTGAAGTCAAGCCATATACTATGTATGCCTTGGATTATTCATAAACTCATATTTAGGTTAAATTGAAGAGTATAGTTTAAAGGGATTGAAATTTTACTGATTTAAAAAAAAATTAATGGAATGGAGATTACCACTACAAGCCACTGAGCTTTATTGAATTGAGCATCTCTTAGTTTTTTCCAGTTTATGAGAAGTACAACACAAAAACATAAGACTAGGCATACATGTCCCCTGGGGGGCACTGGAATGATCAGGGGAGCCAGAGTAGCCTTGGTTGCAATTGGGGGGGGGCATTAAATAAAAATAAGGGGGTGGTAGAAGCATAAGGAAAAATGAGATTAAAAAATTTTTGAAAAACCTTTCTCACATGTTTCATCCATTGTATAACAGAGTTAAATTCATAGTGATTACATTATTTTCCAAATAAGCACACAAAATGCAAGTTATAACCAATTAGTGGTCAAGTCCATCTACAGGACTTAATAGGCAAGTGTTGGCAGGCAAGTATGTTGCTCATTGTCCAGAAGTTCAGCATACATCTGCAGGAATATTCACATGTAATAACTCATCTACAATAATACTACATGGTTATATGACACGATATTATATTGTCAAAATTTCAATGCAAAAAACCCCACAAATTTATAATAAAGTATTAAATTTAAGATGCATCATTTAAATATGTATATATATATATATGCAAACACATATATTTTGAAATGCCACAAATTAAAAAAAAATTAAAGGGTTAAGGAAAGTAGATTTCCAGGGGGGTACTGAGTTATTTTTTTAAAAGGGGGCAGGAATCCAAGTAAATCTGGGAACCTCTGAAGGAAACCTTTAACAATGGAGTAAAAGAAAATTGTTATAATTAATATATATGTATATATAATTATATACAAAATAATAATCTAATATGACTATGTTAGATACAGAATTTTCTGATTCTTAGAAAAGGAAATAGGTAAAGAGTAGGGAAAGAGGGAGGGAAGGTTAAAAGAAAACAAGAAATACTGGATACAACTTTACTACATAGACTTTTGTTTTCTATCAGTCAGTAAAAGGAATCCCACAAGCAAGAAAGGCCATGAAACTTTCCATCACTTAGGAAGAAGTTAGTGTCTCCTAGAGGCAGAATTGTATTTTATATTTTGGAGCTGTATTCTACTGCTTGCACTTCCTTATAGGAATTTCAATAACACTTCAGACAGTTTAGTATTTTAAAATCTTCCTATTAAATGCATTTTAGAAATCTTTTGGCAAGAGTAAAGACTGAGTAGCAAAAAGGAACATCTTGAATATAGAAAAGGCCCTTGGGGAACAAAGGGAAAGATGAATCATCGATTTAAAAAAAGAGAGGAAAGACACAAACATAAAATAAAATCAAAACACAAAAGGACTAAAAAGATCAAAACACAGAGGACTAGGGTTTGAATTCCAGCTATGAAACTTACTACCCATGTGACCTTGAATAAATGATTTTCTCTCTCTGGACCTCAGTTTCCTCAGAAACTGTAGAATCATGAGCTACTATAATATTTACTATAAAATCAGGGGATGGACTAAGTGATCTCAAGGATCCCTTCCAGGTCTAATTTGTATCATCCTATGAAAGAAATAATTTTCATTTTAAGAGAGAGGGGAAAAAAAGTAAAAAAACAGAACATTATTGTAGGAGGCAGAAGAGTAAACATTGGCAGCAGATTCCAAAAGTCCCACCCCCTCCAAGAAGACACTAAGAAATCAGAGGAAACTCAATAAAAATAAAGTGAAAATATACACAGAAATGCTATATACCATATAGGATCATAGGATTATTGACATTCAAGGTCATTGAATCCAAATTCCTCATTTTACAGATGAGGAAACTGTGAGGTCAGATAAGTTAAGTGACTTGCTCGGGGTAACTTAGCTAATAATTATTTCCATTAGGATTCCAACCTGGAGCTTCTTGACTCCAATAATCTATCTAGTAAACCATGTAGCTTCTTAAAAGTGTCCCGGAGACAGCGAGCATATGTGTCTACCACACTGTGTCTTTCACATAGTAGATGCCTAATAAATATTTGTTGAATTGACTTGAATCTCACCAGTGACTAAATAATCTTCTTCTGATTTATTTTCTGTAACTTTAAGGGATTCTTTTTCTCCTAATTTTTACTTTGAAAGCTCCATTCTTGACTAGGGAGTTGTGTTGTGTCCCTTTTACCTTGGTAGATTTTTATTTTCCATTTTTCTAATTTTCTCCACAGGTTGTGCAAATTTCTGGCTTTATGCCAATCTTTAGCTTTCAGCTGAAACCAGGCCAACATGTTCCTCCCCACCTAAGGACTATTCTTCTGTTCACCCAAAAGCTTACCTTTTATCAATAAAGTCCATATCCATTCTACCATCAAGAATAAAGGGAATCAGAAAAATCTTGATATAGAATGGACCCTGACAATTCAACTAGCAAAAATCCTCATATACCCAACTCCTTTAAATTAAACCAAGCCGATCACAATTCAGAAATGAATTATCTACCAGATAAATCATGTATTTCTAAGCTAACTAACTGCCCCCTGGCAACAGCTGAAAACCTGGACCTTATGTAAAGAAATGATGACAACTGATTTAACAAGCATGGAATGCAACTATATCTGTTCCTGTCAGGCTTATAGAGCTTGCAATTTACTGACTCCTGATTTTGGTTCTTTAAAACAGGAGTAGTTTTCTTAGTTCACTTCCCTCCACCTTATGTACAGGAATAATGTACCAGGATGGTCCTGGCACTGCTACTAGGCAGAATCATGGGTTACTGTAATATTTACAGGTTTCAATTCTTCGGCTTCCTTAAATGAATTGGACAATCTGAATGGAGCAAAGCAGGGGCCAGCTGGCTGAGAACACAACTGGCAGAGGAGCACTTGAGCACTTTCCAATGGCTGTTGTTTAAATGAGAGGCCATTTTTAAAGCAAATTCCAACCACAGCACTCAAGGCAGTAACTGCAGAGGGAAGAAAAGTTTTGGGTTTTTTTTTTTTGTGGATATATGCCTGATTATATACCCAAAGTTTCCACTTCCCTCTTAAGAAATTTTGGTTACAAAGGCTTTGTCTGTTTGTTTTAGCAAATTATCTCTTAAAATCAGTGCCAAGCACAACGTTGCAAGTAATGGGGTTTGGCATATACTTTAAAAAAAAATCGTGTCATGATGACCAAAGTCTACTTTTAAGCTTAGTTTCTTTATAGGAAAAGGTTATGAAATTGAAAGAAGAGGGAAGAAAATGAAAGAAAGAAAAGTTCCATCACCTTAGCATGGAAGGCAGACACCTTAGGTGACATGGAAGACTGTGACTATTTAAGTATTTATCATGAGGCCAGTTATACCTCTGTAGAAAACATTTTGTCTCAAACCCAGTTCTTAAGAAGGAATGGAAAGAAGAGCAGTACGGTGCTTGATGATTCAGATTGTCACATCTGGACACAATAGATCCATCCAAATTTTCTCTGTGGAAAGCTGTGGGGAGGGAATTGGGAAGAGACAAAAGTTTCTTTCCTTGTTCTGCTGGGTTCTGATGGTCCAAACCATTGCTATCTGGAGGGGCAACCTTGTGTATATTAGCTGCCAATCCAGATGTATATGTCACAAGTGCCAAAACAGGCCGATTGATAAACAGTATGCCAGCTCAAAAGGGCAGACACAAGCACTATCCAGACTAGTCTACACATTCTATCAGCAGTTTTTCACCCCCAGGGGTGGCAGATAAGTTTAAAGCAGTGTTTAAGCAAAGCCTCCAGTAGGAGCTGGAAAGGTGAAACAGGATGTAGGGGAAGCAGAAAAAAGAGGGAAGGAGTGTAGATCAGGGAGGAGGGGGTGTGCTGAGTAATGACTTGGGGAAACACCCCCACTTACGGGGTGGCAAGGCCAGTGGTGGTGACCCACTGCAAGGCTTTATTACCTCGAGATAGGGCACGATCTTGCAGGAGAAATCCTCTAGAAGCCATTTCTTGGTGAGCTCATGGAAGATGACCAGCGGCAGGCAGAAAAAGATGATGAGGAAATCCCAGAAGGCCAGGTTGGCCAGGAGGGAGTTGGAGATGCTCCGCATGTAGTAGTTGTGGCACACGATGCACATCACAGCCAGGTTGCCGATTATGCCAGTGCCGAAGATCACCACTGACAGACACATGACGGCGTAAGCTCCGTAGGACTCTCGAGTCAGCGGATAGAAGGGGTTCTTGAGCTTGGGGCGCCGGTTCGTGCCGTTTCCCCCGCGGGGGCCGCTCCGCTCCTGGAGTGCCTCTCCAGAAGATCCATTTAAAGGCAATGCCTTCCCGGAGGTTGCCACTGTCTCCTCCTGCGCTTTTCTATCCACACTGGCTGCGTTCTCCAAGATGGGGGGACTGGTCAGGGGGTCACCGCGGGCTTTCCCCGCTCTCCTCCACCTGGAGAAGGGCTCCGGGGCTCCAGAGTGGGTCCTGGCATTCCGCTCCTGGCTGCCTCCTAGATCGATATCCTTTCCACCTTTCTCTTTACCCGTCTCCAAGGAAAATCTAAGGGCAACCGGTAGTTCAATCACCGCTGCTCTGAGAGGAAGTAGCCAGATGCCAGGCCGCCTCTCTGGGGGCACCTGAGAAGTCCTGTGAGCCCCAGTCAGGTCCCCGAAAGGCGCCGTTAATGTATTTCCTTCTTTTTCCTCCTCCTTCTCTTCTTGTGCTTTAGCTACAGCTGCTCCTCTGGGGCTGCTGGACAACACTTTCTGCAACACGTCTCCCGACCCCCAAACTTCCCAGCCGCGCCTCTGCGGGGTCAGCGCAGGCAAGTCTGTCTTCCCTAAGCTGGTTTGGTTCCCAACAGCTAGGGCGGGAGAAACTCCGAGCTGCAGCAGGAGCAGAAGGCTTATGGTGCCGACGAGGGGCGCGCCTGGGGGCCGCATAGTTCAGCGTCGCTCGGCACCTCGGGGCTGGCAGTGGCAGTGGCTCCTTAGGACCGGCACCTGCTGCCCAATTTGGCGCGGACAGTTAGACACATGTCACTGGGCTCTTCGGCACACGAAGGGTGCCTTCCTCTGGGACCACGAGGAGGAAAAAGCTGGAACCCCCTACACTGCTCCGTTTGACGTTCTGTTCATTCCCCTAACTAAATCCACTTTAGGCGCTGAGCACCACCAGCGTAGGTCAGAGCGGGGAACCTCCTTCCTCTTAGAAACAGGGACTGACCTTTGAAAAGTTGCAATCAAAGCCTCTGACTATTAACAGCATTAATGTTACAAGTGGGAGAGATAAAAAGCCCCCACTGAAACCCAACGCTCCTCCTCTTTTTTCTTTTTCTTTTTTTTCTGTGACTCTGCTTTCTTGGTAACAGTTGCTCTGGATCTCTGGCTGTCTATTTACATCCTCTCGATGTTGCTTTATCCCGTTGCAAGCAAAGGTCTCCAGAGACAAGGAAGAACAAATCCCCCTCCCCCAGACGATTGCTCGCCTAAAACAATCCTCTTCCAGCACCTCTCTCCTAGTAAACAGGTTGCGCGGAGCCGTACTGGAAAGCGAGTCGCCCTAGAAAACTCTGGCTTCGCCTGACGTCGGGGACTAGCTCGGCTATTGCGGTCAGAGAGAAGTGAGATGGAAGAACCCAGCAAGCTAGAGTCAAAGTTGCTTCCTCTTCTGCCCCAAGTTGCTTGGGGAGCAGTCCCGGGTGTCTGGCGACCAGTCCCTGAAAAGAAGGACGACGCGCGGGTCAACGGGCGCTCCTGGAGAGCTGACAGCACTGGCACCCGCAGGAACATAAAGTGGCGACTGACTGCCCGAGCACCCAGGGTGAAAAGCGCTTGGATGGAAACAGCTGCGACCGGGGCGGTGCATGGCCAGGGGGAAGGAGGAGGGCTGAGCCGTGGCTCCAGCTGCCGCCGCCGCCGCCGCCGTCGCCGCCGCGCGTGGCTGTGAGAGCGCACAGCTCCTCTCCTCTTCCGACTCCTCCTCGGAGAGATGCTGGTTTGTGAGGAGACGGGTTCCCCTGGTGGTTTAGGGCTCACTACATCCACACACACTACATTCAAGCCCTTTGTAGTTGCTTCCACTTTCGGAAGGAGAGAGGGATGGGGGATGCGGTGATGACTGGTGCGGAGAGGGTGGAGAAGCCAAGCTCCCCAGGGCTGGGTTTCGGCGCTGGGGTTGGGCTAGGTTAGTTCTTCCAGCTGTTGGAACGGGTCAGACGTATCTGATTGCCAAGAGAGTAGGGAGGGGCCGGACCCGGGCCGGGAAGGTGCCCACAAGCGAGCTACCAAAAGCTAGCTTGGCTACTGAGCATGCCCAGGCTAGAGCCACTGGGAGTTGCAAGGTGCGGCTCGCACTTCCCCAGGTTTTCCCAGGAGCTAAAGGAAGACGCAGGAGAAAGGATTTCACAGCTCCTGGGAGTGAGAAGGACAATAGGAAAAGTCTCAGGAGCTTGGATCCGCTCTTTTTTGGCTGCTAAATTAGCAAGAGTCCGTCCTAGGGGATCGTAAATCCACACAAAGAACGTTCGGAGTAGGATCTGTTTGTGGAGAGTGGGAAAAGATGAAAAACCAAGCCCCGCCCCCGTCCCCAAGGTGTGTGGGCAATTAGGTGGGTAGTTGAGCTTCCTTGTTGTTTGGAAAAAGGATACTGTGGGAGAGTCTAAACAGGCTCCAGTTTTCTGGTGCCTTGACCCAAAAGAAGAGGCAGCCTCAGGCTCCAAAGCATTTTTTCCCCAAGCTTTGCCAGGAAAGTCTCTCCTCCCTCCGTCCCCTCCCCCCCCCCCTTAGTCTCTCCAAGGAACAGCCCTTGTCTGTTTTCCTTACCGGCAGCAAAAGGGGCTCAGGAAATTATCTCAATTTATAACCCTCTGGTCAGGCCTGAATAACAAATCAGTGGTACCCTAACAGATGCCAATAATAATACATTAACATTCCTAAATTCATACAGCCCTGTATTATCTGAGACTATGCCAGTCTATGCTTAAAAATGTAAGAACTGGAATCTGACATTTCCATTGCCTGCTTTGACACTAAATTGAAAGAACAGCTTGAATGTCTTACTCCACCACAAAGTTACAAAGAAAATGTGTTGGGGCTGATACTCTAAGTATGGAGTATAAAGAAGAACAATCCTCTTAATTAGTTCCCCTTAGAAAACCTTTGTTATTGGACCCTCAATTTCACAGTAATTAGAAAGATAAGACATGACAGATTTTTAGATGAAGGAAACAAATGAAGTAAATGAGCCACTAATACCAAGGGAAAGAAAGTGGGGGAGGGGGAAATTGGCCAAATTCTCTCCCTACCCACCCTGACCATTTCTTTCCAACACTGAGTATGCCTTCACATGCCTCACTGACTAGCCATCCAATGGGCTGGTCTTTGGGAAAGGGGTGGCGGAGAGGAAATGAAGGTGGAATGAGGAAGATAGAGATGCTCAGAAGTAACAGAATTTGAATCAAAGCTGTCAAAATAACAGCAAGCAGGGCTCTTTCTCTCACTCCCAAGATTATTGCGCATATGTGCAAATTTAGTCTTTCTAGTTATAGAATGTTTATTCTCTTGCCTGCAACCAAGGTGGGGGTGGGGAAGGGGTGGAGACAAACCCTCTTTTTCACATTCTCCATTCTAACTAAACATCTGGTTTGAGCAGAGCATTATTCCCTAACAGGTGTGGTAACTGCAACACTTTTTCATACTACTTTGAAAATGACACTGAAAAGCAAAGTGTTATGGTGAAAGGGGCACTGAATTTGAAGTCAGAGTCCCTGTATTCAAATCAATACTCTGTTATTTACCACCTATAGGACCTTATGCAAGTCATTGTTAGCTATTTAGGCCTTAATTTATTCATCTGTAAAAATAAGGGAATTGGATCAGATGATATTTCAGGTTTCTTCCAGTTCTAAATTCTGTTATTCTAGAAACATCATGAACTGGCTGACTCTTTGTGACCCTATTTAGGGTATTCTTGGCAAAGATACTTAAATGGTTTGTCATTTCCTTCTCTAGCTCATTTTACAGATGAGGAAACTGAAGCAAATAATGTTAAGTGACTTTTCCAGGGTCACACAGCCAGTCAGATTTGAACTTAGGTTTTCCTGACTCCAGGCCTAGTACTCAATCCACTGTGCTACCTGGCTACCCACCTGGCAAGTAGCAGGCAGTTAATGAATGTCTATTGATATATTTTTTTTTTGGTTAGGCAATGGGGTTAAGTGACTTGCCCAGGGTCACACAGCTACTAAGTGTTATTATATGTCTGAGGCCCAATTTGAGCTCAGGTCCTCTTAAGTCTAGGGCTGGTGCTCTATCTGCTGCGCCACCTAGCTTCCTCGTGTTGATCTAGAATACCTACCTCTCTTCTTCCATAGCTGTCTGTGTGCATCAGTAAGTAATGGCACATCATTTTTATTGGCATTTTAAAATAATGCTTCTAGACAGAATTCATCTGAATCATTTGTACTCCCTTTTATCTTTGTTTATATGACACCGAAAATAGTAGAGATTTGATGGGTCCATACACTTTGAGAGAGAATTTTCCCAACTTTAAAAAAAAAACAGCTATAGAAAATAGAAAACTCCATGACTACTGGCAAGTGCACTCTCCAATTCAACATTTGGAGCCTTGGTCTGCCAACCAATCACTGACTTGTCAAAAAATAAAAAAAAAAAAAATTTGGCACTTCCCAGAGTGTGAACATCACAAGGAAGATCATATATGAAAAGTAACGGGTAAAGTCTGGTCCAGTTAGTAAACTTATTTCAAATAAAGACATAACATCAAATATTTTATTTAAGCCTGAAGACTTAAAAAAAAACCACACAAAACAATGCTTCTTCCAATAATAGGCATGTACATTGACTAGATTAACTATTCTCCCATAAATGGGAGAAAGTGAGACTCAATAGCCATTCTACTCACTTTGAATCCCTCTGTAAAAATATAGATCCCAAAAAGAGATGACTAATCATTGTCTAGTTTGTGCTAGCATCATTTATCTATATTATGAGGACTGATTTGAACATAGACTTAGCTATGTCAGCATTCCATTGAGCTTGTAATACATAATATTGATTTTTGTACACAAAAAACCACATATAAATAATGGCCTCTCTTGGTATTTCTGTCTAGTTTATTACACCTTATTCAGTATTTGTTGTGATGAAGAGGAAATACAAAATTAAGGAACAGAAGTTCCTTAATTGAAGTTGAACATTGAAGTTTGAGATACTAATTTGGCTTGAGTGAACACAATCAGACTTCTTACACAATATAGAATCTTCTTCGTACACAGATTCACTAAGAAACATTTCAATGCCATCTACTGAATTAAAAAGGGTGTTTAGTTCATATATCCAAGAAAAATGTGGTATGCAAGCAATGACACAATTTTTAAAATTGGGATTTTAAAATTGTGCTTCTAGAAAGAATTTAAGTTACTTGTATTCCATTTCCTGTCTTTGTTTTTATTGTTCCTAATCATTTTTAGATCACAGATTGATTTTTAGCAGGAGAGAAGTCCTCAGCAACTATCCTTGTGAGGCAAGTAGGTGGCACAGTGGATAAAGCTTTGGGCCTAAAATGGAGAAGATTTGAGCTCAAATTCAGCCTTGGACATTTACTAGCTCTGTGACCTTGGGTAAGTCATTTAACCTCTGCCTCAGCTCAATTATAAAACAGGGATAATAATAGCATCTAACTCCCAAGGATATTGTGAAGATCAAATAAGATGATATTCATAAAATACTTGGCATATAATCAGTTCTTAATAAATGCTTATTTCCTGCCTTCCTTTTCTTCTTGTGACCAGAGCCTTAACTAGGTTAGAGTAACTGAAATTTTGCCTCAGGGCCCCTGAAATTGAAACAATAGGCATTGCTTGAAGTGTATCAGCAGCATGGGAACAACAGTGCTTATCATTTAGCAAGAGTAATTAGTTAAAATAGGAAAGTACTA